TAGACTAACTAACAACCGCTTCAATAGCCGTGGATCCTGGATCCGCCTCCCCTATTACAGACTTGTAAATCTTCATATCATCAGCAAAAAGCTTGCAGTTCACACCTAGTTCCTCAACGACATACGGAAGGTCATAGGTGTATATGCAGAAAAGCACAGGTGAAAGAACACCTCAACAGAACAACCCATTGACAAGTACTTGGAATGAACGGTTCAGCAGAAAGGCCTGAATCCAGGAGATTATTTTGGTGATGTATTCCGACGTGCTTTAGTTTGAGTAAAAGCTTGGAGTGGTTAACTCTGTCAAATGCCTTGGAAAAATCAAAATAAATGACATCAACGTCTTTTTTAACATCCAAAGCGGCGGTCCAATCGTTCATGGATTCTATCAGTTGCGTAACAGTTGATTTGCCTTTCCTGAAGCCGTGTTGACTATCAGGCAATATGCCGTGCCTTTCTAAGTGTTTCACAATAACCCGCTTAACTACTTTCTCAAACACCCGGCAAAATACTGACGTGATACAGACCGGTCTATAATTATTTGGGATTACTGAGCGGAGGCTTTTTCGGAATAGGAGTTACAAACGACCTCCTCCATCGCTCAGGCAACTTCGGCTCGGAATTGGCTCAAGTTAAATGAAGTTTCAGTGGTCCAACAATAGAAGGGTTGCCAGCCTTCCGACGGTACATTTCTCCTTTTCGACTTCCGAGTGTGGAATTTTCCTTCGAGGGCACGGGCCACGATCAAATTGGTCTGCTATCCTGTTTGAAAATAAGACAAAATATGCAAAGAAGGACGTCAATGGCAAAAAAGGAAAAAGCAACACTGGAATTTTCTTTGAGGGGTCGACCATGGTGCGATGTAGAAATACGGTGATGCGAGGGCATGGAAACGCTAAAGAACACGTCGTATGCGAGGGCGCACAGACGTCACGTATGCCACGATTGATAAGAATTGCAGCGGTCGCAGCGGGCACATAGATGGACTACCCCCTTGTCGCGCGATCCACGATTGTACTAACACCCCTGTAATGAGGGGTCCTGCTTCCTCCTCAGGATGAGATTCCTCTAAGGATCCAATCGTGGCCCATGCCTTCAAGGGAGGATTCCATGATAAGGTCGGAGGACCTGGAAGGGGAAATACACCTAGTGGAAAGGCAGGCGGACCCTCGGAGGGTGCACGATTTGCAGAGAAGAATATCCCTCGACGGCCTAGCAGGGCCATACCTATGCCACTTACCCGCTGCACTCCTATGGGTCGTTCCTCACCGTTCGAGACTAGGCATTTACCAGAGGGAGCTGTTGTCAGAGAGGACCTCACCGATGAGAGTCGCATTAACGCGAG